TTCTTGACAAAAAATGGTATGACCCCTGTTCCTCACCCTCCATACTCACCCGACCTTGCCCTGTGCGACTTTTTTTTGTTTCCTCGAATGAAAAGAGACATGAAAGGAAAAAACGACGAAGGCGCTGTCAAGCATCTCAAAAGATGAATTTAGACAATATTTTGAAAAATGGAATAAAAGACTAGACAAGTGTATTAGTGTAAGTGGAGAGTAGTTTGAAGGGGATTGAAGGTTTGTGCTTAAAATTTGAATAAATAAGTTTAAAAAAAAATAAGTTCGGTTTCTTTTGGGTACCCCCTAGTATATAATGCTTAGTGAAAATGAGATCCATGCCAGATGCACACTGGCTAAAGTGGGGATAGCTCATAGTAGACCTCTGTTGGGAATAGCGCAGAGGAGAACAGAGCAAACTTTTGTAAAGCTCTAGATGGGAAGTCGCTTTTTAGTGATCTTTATGGCATTTACATGGTAATACTGAACTAACTGAAGGCTGTCTTTAAGTTTAGTGAACAAGCATGACAAAGGGGTGCAGTGAACAAAACTGCAGTGGAATCAATGGCCAGGGATGACAGTTTCTGGGAAACAAAGAGGTGCAAGTGGCATATCTCTAACAACACCTTGCAGACAGCCAAGAAGTCGGCTAAACCGGTCCCAACATCCACACTTGTCAAGCTGCCTCCAAAATTAGAGTTAATTTGCAGCTTCTTCACACCTCTCAGAACTACTGGTGCAGAGAACCAGCTATGGCAGAAGGAGGCTCCAAGGAAACCAGGTAGCCCACCACAAAAATTGATGACCTCTACCACAAACCTCATTCAACTCCAGAGCAACTTAAAAGACCATGTCAAAGGACAGTACTAGTTCCGAATTACATGAAATGAAACCTGCATCAAAATAATCCATGTGAGGCAAATGACCACCATTCAAAGAGCACCAAACGGACTCCTCCCTCTGTTCCCTGTTACCTTAACAAGAAACATAAAATCTCAAGAGATATTCAAGCTGAATATCGTTAACCATATTATCTTCAAGATACAGTTATACAGAGCTGAGACTGGCCTTACGCAGTGCTACAACTTCCAAAACTTTGGTCATGTCTGGGTCAGCTGCAGGCAGCCCCCTTGATGTTTGTGATATGGTGCTGGCCACCTGCATAGGGAATGCCGTGGAAAGACAAATACGATATCTGTGCCGAGCTGCTCCAACTGCATCCAAGGAGAAGGAGAGAAACTTCATCCAGCATCCTGCCGAGACTGCAGCCATTCGAAAGGAGATCTGCTAAGGAGAAGAGAATGAGCTCCCAGGGGATCCTCTGGGAGGATGTCCTTCTCTAAATTCACCTCACCAGAAGAGTTCTTCAAAGCTGCACTGTGTCAAGACATGCAACATCAACAACCACAGGCACTGCCAACAGATGGGAAAAGCTTGCAGCTCCCTGTGCAGCAGCACCTGCCACAACAAGAAATTGAGAATATAGGTCTGTCAGTACAGGCTCCCAGTTAGTCTGCCAATGACATGTTAAAAGTCACCAGTGCAGTGCAGTAGATCATAACAGAGCTTAATGAAGCTCTTTCAGAAAAAGACAAAATGATGGTCATTACAAAAATGGTACCTAGCTTAATGAAACAAAATGGCTTCTAGAGTTCATACGCCACCCAGAGTCATAGCATTTAATGCAAATGGCATTTGGAAGCAGTGTTATAAGCTCAATGAACAGCTGCAAGATTTACACAAATGTGGCTTGGCTCTAAGAGATGCATCTCAAACCTCATGTGAAGTTCTTTATTCCAAATTATCACTTCTATCAGACTGTCTGTAAGTCACCAGGCCATGCCTGGAATGATACAGACATCATTGAGCTGACATCACTACTGGCAGGAGATCTGAATGCTAAACTCCCACTTTGGAATAGCGTATTTTCCAACCCTCAGGCATGAAACTACTGAATTTAATATAAGTTGGAAATTTCAGCACCGCAGTGTCCCACCCATTACTCTCCTGTGGAAAGTGGTGATGTGCTTGATATTGTTGTGCACAAAAATATGACTGTTGGAAGTTATTGTCTCTGACATTCTGGACTCAGATCACCTACCAGTCATTTTGCAGTTCTTAGATTGTATTAGAACTAGGAATCTTTCAAAGCAGCTCAACAAATTCATAGGTTTGAAGTGGTTTCAAAGCCAGGCCTCTGAACTGATTTCACTTAGAATGGAAATTAACTTGGGGGAAGAAGCTGATAAAGTTGCCCATGACTTTACTGTCTCTATACTCATAGCTTCAGCACATATGCTATCAACAATTGAAATTACACTCTTGGATTTAAATAATGCTTTACCTGGACTGGAGAGTCTGTTAAAATATAAACAAAGGTTACAGAAACTGTACTCAGTAAGCTGGGATCGAGTATAAAAAAAGAGAATTTAATTGTGTCGCCAAAACCATCAGACGAATGACCCATAGAAAGGCACTCGAATGATGGGAAGCAGAGGTAGGGAAGTGTGAGGTCACACCTCAAGCTTTGTGGCCTGTTGTGAAATTGCTTATGAAAAGGGATGGACCAAAGGCACCAGTGGCCCTTTAGGAATAACTTATGACCCAAATGAGAAAGCCAACATGATTGTGGAATGGTTAGAAAACCAGTTCTCATTTCATGACCTGTGTGATGGCAACCACGAGAGACAGGTGGAGACTGTAGAGTCCAAGCTTTGCTTGCATCTATAGACGACACCCTTTTGGGAAAAGTAATACCCTGTGGTATACATAAATTAGTAAATTAATTGAAATTGTGAAAGGCATGTGACCTTGATGGTATTCCAAATGAATGCCTTAGGCACAGTCCAAGGAGACAACTCGTACATCTGACACATTTATATAATCATTGTCTTTGGCTGTCTCATTTTCTTAAGTCTTTGAAGGAAGCAAAAGTTAGAACATTACTGAAACCTGGTAAGGACCCAAAATTTCCTCAGAATTTGTCAGATTAGCCTCTTGGCCACAACAGGCAAGCTATTCGAGGATGTTATTCTGAAAATAGTCCAAAGGCACATTGAAGA